GCAGTCTTGTGGTATAGAGGGTAGTGTTCTTGGCTCTGAGCCAGAAAATCTGGGTTTCAGTCCCACCCCCAGGACTTATTGGAATAGTTTTCCAATCCACTTGTCTTCATCATATTTCCAGTTTGACATTTGTTGGTTCTAAAATGATGCAGTTGTCAGTTCACTTGCTGTTCAGAAAGATATAGTAGAACGACTGTAAGATTCAATTCCTGCTTAATAGTTGCTGTCTTTGCTGTGTAATGATCTCTGCACAATCCAAGTATACTGCATTTTCCATTTAATAATATCTGTGTAACTGCCAATTCCCAGAATTCAAGATTGCTTCGTGTACAAGAACTTTTCATCATATCTGTGCATTTGAATTGGTTGGTCTTATGCTCTTTGTTGTTCTATATTTTCTGGCTTTAAGCTGTTCATACATAACCACTCACTATTTTCCAGCCTGTATGGTGTTATCAGCATAGTTTCATTTCATGATTGTATGTCCAAGAATTATCTGAGTTATGGCTAGTCCCTAAGGTTCTTCATAATGTAGTTATTTCTTTTCATCTTTCTGGCATAATGTAGCATTTGACTAAAGAGATGTTTTTGTCTGTTTAATGTTTTAATTTCTACTGACACTATTTAACACTACCAATATGATGTTTGGTTAATTGTTTACTTAATATTTGATAATGTTTTGGCAGGTTGACATTACCAACACGATCATTTGAATTCTGAAGTTGGACTGCATAATTAATTCCATTCATCACTGACTCTGAACTGTCCTGCAGCAAAAGATTTTGTTATTTCAGTCCAGGTTTGACACCCGACATTTTTCTGAATTTTCAATCTTCTATTTACAGAGTTGCAGATGCAATGGGTATTTGATATTTCAATAACTCATATTTATTGTTCTTAAAAACCACTTGTTACATTAGGTTTCAGAGATTTATTTCTGTGACACTAATGTCAACAATTCCAGTAAAACGTTGATGTCCACATTCCAAAAAAGATACATGTGGAATAAGGTATGCATGAAATCCACTGAAATTGAAACTGGCTAAAAGATCTGACAAAGTTAAAAAAAAGTGCATTTCTATTGAAACTTCACAATCTCAAGACATCCCAAAATTCTTTGTAACTAGTTGTTGCAGACAGGAAGAGAGGCAAACTGAACTCTTTTATTCTCTTCACTTTCTATCCCTAAGCAGAGTAGTTTAAGTTTGAATAGGTATGTTTTGGAATTTTTATTGTTACATCAATTTAAAGTGGCATGCACAAATTTGGAGTAATGTTTAATACAGAGTGGTCTTTGTGACTACACACATACTTCACCTTTACACACAAACATCCATTGACACACACATGAAAGAAATAAACTTTTGAAAATTTGAATCTTGCCTTTTTTCAATTTTATTTACTCAAGCTAAGAAACTATGCAGGTCTTTACTATCTCATCAAAAGATAGACACCCACATGTGCTGGAATTTTCCCCTAACATAAATTTTGGTCAAAGCAGTGTTAATGCAGTGCTACTTCAAAAATAAAACTTCTAATAGATGAAAGAACAATCAAATTTTAATTGAATTGTGACAAAATTTGCAGATGGCACAATAGTGGAAGTGTAATAAATAGTAAGGAAGATAATAATGGGCTTCAAGTATTCTGATTTTATTATAAGGTGAATTATGCTTCAGTTGTATGGGCATTGCTTAGAGCACACCTGGAGTATTTTGTACAGTATTGATCTCATTCAAGGAAGGATGTAAATGTGTTGGAAGCAGTTCAGAGCTTTACTGAATTAATCGTTAGAATGGATGGGGTGTCCTGTGAAGAATGATTGGATGAGGTAGGGTTATATGCACTGGAGTTTAAAAGAGTAAGAGGCAACTTGATTAAAACATAAAAGATGTAAAGGGATTTTGTGGAAATGATGTTTCTTGTGGGAAAGTCTAGAATTAGGGACGACTATTTAAATAGCAGTCGCTCATTTAAGACAGAAATGTGGAGTTTTTTTTCCTCAAAGAGGGTCTTGAATCTTTGAAACCCTCCTCCTCAAAAGACAATGAATGCAGAGTCTTTTGAGGCAATGCTAGATAGCATCTTGATAAGCAAAGGCTAAAAGGTTATCAAGGATAGATGGAAATATGGAATTATCAAATCAGCCACAATCTTACTGAATGCGTGGAGAAATATTGAGGGGCCGAGTGACCTAGTCCTAATTTATAGTTCCTTTTTATGCCCATATTCACTGAAAACAGCTATCTGATAACTATTGATGCTGGATGAATATCCCATAACTCCTTATCTCAGCACTGTGAGGGCATCTTTAATACACGCAGTTCTAAGACGCTGCACAACTATCACATTATGGATTGACAAGTCATATTGGCATAGTTGACAGACCCCACATTCGAAAAATAAGTGGCAAATGGTATCAATTTAAAAAGGGTACAAGAACTGAGACCTGAACAAATCATTGAATGTGTCAAGATAAGCTTTACTAACTTGGTTGCGAACCTATGTGCAAAACCATATCTTTTAATTTTTCGCTACTTTTGGTTGGGGACTGAAATGGGAAAAAGCCATGAACTGTTGCAGGAATTGCTGCACTTTTAAACACATATTGAATGTTGTTTGCAAAACTGATTATTCATGATGAAGTGCTGGGGACAGAGTGGGAGAATCTAGTTATGGGTGAGCTAGAACTAAAGGGTGTGTACAAGTGGAGCTCTAGCTGGGACCAAGTAGCTCATTGGTCTGTGAAATGGTGACCAGTTATCAATGTCCACCTGCCAACTACATGATTGACACTGAACAGCCTGTCAATGTGAATTGTTACTAAGAAGCTGTTGCACCTCTGAAGGGGAAGGGGTTGTCTCTTATCTCTAATAAAAAAAACACTTCAAGCCGGTTTACTTGCACCACCCCACCCAGCAGATTCAAGACCTGTCTGCTTTTTTAAAATCGAATACCTAGGGTGAAAACAGGCCATTCGGCCCAGCGAGTCCACACTGACCCTCCAAAGAGCATCCTACCAAGATCCATTCCCCCACGCTATCCCTGAAACCATAACCTACATATCCCTGAACACCAAGGGGAATTTAGCATGGCCAATCCACCTAACCTGCACACCTTAGAACTGTGGGAGGAGACTAGAGCACCAGGAGGAGACCCACACAGACACGAGGAGAATGTGTAAACTCCACAGACAGTCGCTAAAGGGTGGAATCAAACCCAGGTTCCTGGTGCTGTGAGGCAGCAATGCTAACCACTGAGCCACCGTGCTGCCCCTATATGTGGTGGAGGTTGTGGCACAATGGCTTTAACCTGCAGCTGGACAGAGAACTGAAGAATACCTGCAAGATGCTGTAATATTACAAGAGCAGTTCAATAACCCCAATGCACAGGTGAGTGGTGCAATATGCAAATAGCATCAACTTATTCAGACTTGACAGATTGGGAATATTCAGATGAAAGTTGAGAGCACCATGTGTTTAGAAACCCATGTTGAATGGTCATGACATTGTTAAAATTTAGCTTTCATAGGATGCAGGCATGGCTGCCAAGGCCAGCATTCATTGCCGACCCCTAATTGCCATTAACTGTAGCAGTTAAAAGTCAACCACATGTGGAGTCACATGTAGGCTAGACTGGATAGGGAGAGAATTCCTTCCCAAAAAAGGATATTAGTAAACCAGGTGAGTTTTGCAACAATTGATGATAATTTTGTGGTCATCATTTCATCAACTATCTTTCACTTCCATATAATTAAGTGACTAGAGTAGTGCTGCCATGTAATCTTAAAGAGAGATCTCTTAGGGAGTGCAAATACACTTGGATTTTAATTTTTGGACAATGAGCGAAGCTAGACACAGTCATCAAGATGCTGTCAATTTACTTTGAAGTTGGGATTAATTTGACCTCGTGATGTTAAAGTTAAAATAGCCCGAATAATTACATGTCTATCCACGTCATTACCTACATATGGGAGAAAGAAATGGATAACAGCTGTCTTTAATTTACTGCGCCCAGGTTTGGGACGTTAAAAAAAAAAGTTGTTCTCCAGAGATGACACTAGCAAGGTGACTCACATTCACCATTCATACTGAATACCAATCAAGATAGAGGTGGCAGGCACCCTTTCTTGAAGAATAACTATTTAGTAGCATTCATAGTTGATGGAGATTAATGTTGACACAATTCTGGAAAAGAAAAGAATATTGCTACTTTCCTGTGCTGGCAACATAGCTTGGCAAGATATTTTTCTAATCAACGCATTTAGAGATGTTATTACATACCTTTGCACCAGGTGAGATTTGAACCCAGGTCTCCTGGCCCAGAGGTAAGGACAGTACCACTGCACCATAAAGTATAAGTTACATACTGACAAAACAAAGTGTGGAGCTGGAGGAAGCCAGGCAGCATCAGAGGAACAGGAAAGCTGAAACGTCTAGCTCCACACTGTGTTATCTCTGACTCCAGCATCTGCAGTTCTTGCTATCTCAGTTACGTACTGCACTGCAGTTTAACTGGCAGCACTCGAGTCACAGGGATGTGGGTTCAAGTCCAACGCTAAGACTTGAGGATGAAAACAAAACTGGTTGCTCCATGCCAGCACTGAAGAACAGCCCTTTGGCTAACATTTTAAGCTAAGGTCCTTTGTGCCCTATTGGCTGAGAATACACGATCACAATTTCGAAGAGTAGAAAATTTAAGCCCAGAACTCAATCAATACTGTACCTCAATTAACATTTGGTCACTGTGACACTGTTGTTTATGGGAACATACTGTGTGCTGTGGCTACGATGCTTCCATACTTTAATACAAATATTTTCTCAATTCTGAAATTCTTTTTAAAGCAACATCGGTCTTCTGGTCTTTATGATATTCAGAAAGATAAAAGCAAGAATTAAGGCAGGTAACTCAGACAGGTAGAAATTGTGGTTGAGGACAAACTTAGCTGTTTGTCAGCTTACTACAATTGGTCCATTAATCAAGTAAAACAGTCCAGGTAGGAAAGAGCAAAGTATATTTTTATTGAAGAAATACAGACTTACTTCTTACAAAGACAATGATAGTTTTAGCATTGCTATAAAGCTTTAACTTTCTAGGAACATAATATCAATTGCATTGGAAGGAAAATTTAGTCAATTAGACTTACTAGAGGCACCTATAAGTTATATCAAGATAAACACGGAATTTGGAGACCATCACCAAATCTCATCTTGGGTTATGGCATTATAATTCAATTGCATTCTGACTGCCACAGCTAATATACCAAACCCTAAACTAGAGCTCATCACTAAGTCATGCAATAAAGAAATTAGTTTATTGAATTCTCATATATCTCTTGTGGTGGTTGGATATTGTGATCAAGTTTATTTCCAAGCACATGTTTTCATCAATAACTGGAGTCCTAAACTTTCTTCATGAACATACATAATATCAACTGCACTGCTTTTCCTGGGCATTTGTTAAGGCACTGTCAGAAGTAAATACAATCTTGCTGGTCAGCTTAAGTGGAATTGTCTTGCCTCCTTACTTCTAGCAGATCCTTGAAATACAGATTGTACAACAACAATGTTAAGTCACTGCATGTGTGAACTCCGACAGAAAGAGAACTACAGAAGCAGGGTCTGACCAAGTCTCAAAAGATGAAGCCAGATGCATTTACCTAAACCATATTTTTACCTAACTAATTTCAAAATAGTCAAGAATTTTGAGATGTAACTTGAGATTGGGAATGCTTTTAGTAATGACTTCTAAAAAGACTGTTGCACTCATTCTCCATTTTAAAATGAATCTTGTCCTTAATAATCAGTCATGATGTAATTATTGTTCTTGACAAGATCTGTTGCCTAGATAAAAGCTCCACTCTTTGCTTCACCAGTTTATCTTATATTTGCTAACAGTGTCCAAGATACTTCACTTCTCAGTGGACAGAACACTTATCAGGCACATGTGGTCTTCAGTGGAAAAACATAACTCTGTCTGTAGGCCACTGATGGATTATTGACCAGATGGCATATGGTTATAAATCCTCCAAAGATTCACCTTAAACTTTATCTCACTGTGTGTAGAACAAACAAGTGGGTACAGAGGTGTGTTTTCAAATCAAAAGTCTCAGAAGAACCATCAAGTTCAGCAAGGTTTAGTTATGGAATATATTACATGGATTCAAAATTTCTAAAAAAGACAAAACATATCACGTGCCCATTACATCTGTACGTAAACATCGGAGGTCTAAGAATTACTTCATCAATAATACCATCTGAAACAGAGTTTTGACGAAATTCATGCCAATCTAAGTTACATTTTTGGATTCAGTAGCACACAAAGTAATACATTGTAAACACAAAGAACAATTATTGCTACAATATAGACCCCTATGATTAGAGTGTTACTTTATAACAAGTTTGACTTTTCTTGAATCATTTTGCAGAATAATTACCATCTAAAAGATTACCGTAGTGTTTATATATTACATTGTAGTGAGTTGATTGTAGATTTATAGCATCATAAATACCAATCGTAGAACCATAAAAAGGCTGCAAGGAAGAAGAAAATAATTTTGAGAGAGATTTTACAGCACACAAACTTAGATAACATGGTAATAAGGAACAATAAATATAAAGTACACTTTTTTATTCCCAAAGGCTTCTACCATTCCTCCACTCTCAGGGTCAGAACAGGGTTACGCCACATCAGGATCAACAATTCCCAAGCACCAGATCTCTGCTGAGAGATTTCAAGAAATTAACTATTTGTATCCTGCAGTGTCACTTCTTTCAAGTGTCAGCATTTGCTCTGTGAATTACACTCCCCTGCCTTTCTGTTCCTTTAAAGTGCATGACCAAACACTTCTCTACATCGAATTTACATCTGCCAACTGTGTGACCGTTCCCTAGCCTATGCCATCCTGAAGTTAGTTTTATCTTTTATGAACACTTCTCCTTTTTGCTGTAAAAATGGACCAGACGGACCATACCCCAGTGTTCTGAAGGAGATAGTTGTGATTGTAGATGCATGGATCGTAATCATTCAGGAATCACTGGAGACAGAGAAGATCCCACAGGAGTGGAAAACGCTAATGTAACACCCTTATTTATGAAGGCAAGGAGGCAGAAGATGAGAAATTATAGACCAGTTAGCCTGACCTCGGTCGTTGGTAAAATTTTAAGAGTCCATTATTGAGAATGAAATTGTGGAGGGCTTAGAAGTGCATGGTAAAATAGGGCTCAGTCAGCACGGCTTCATTAAGGGGAGGTCATGCCTGATATATCTGTCAAAATTCTTTGATGTAACGAGCAAGTTAGACAAAGGAGAGCCAGTGGACATGATCAATTTGGATTTCCCGAAGGCCTTTGACCAGGTGCTGCACAGGAGGATGCTAAATAAGTTAACAGCCTATGGTGTTAGGGGCAAGTTACTGGCACGGATAGGGGATTTGCTGACTTACAGAAGGCAGAGTGTGGATAAAGGGGTCTTTTCCTGGATGGCATCGGGTGACCACTGGCGTTCTGCAGGGGTCAGTGTTGGGACCACAACTATTCACGTTATACATTAATGATCTGGAAGAAGGAACTGAGTGCATTACTTGTAAGTTTACAGATGACCCAAAGATAGGTGGAGGTACAGGCAGGGCTAGAATACAACAGCAGTGATGCACTGCTGAGATTGTATAAGGCTTTGCTCAGACCGCGTCTGGAATATTTTAACCAGTTTTGGGCGCCGTATCTAAGGAAGGATGTGCTGGTCTCGGAGAGGGTCCAGAGGAGGTTTCCAAGAATGATCCTGGGAATGAAGGGCTTGTCATATGAGAAGTGGTTGAAACTCTGGGTCTGTTCTCAGAGTTCAGAAGGATGAGGGGAGATCTCATTGAAACTTAGAGAAAACAAAGGCCTGGATAGAGTGGACATGAAGATCTTTCCCCTAGCAGAAGAGATCGAGGGCACAGCCTCAGAATGAAGGGATGACCATTAAGAATTGAAACGAAGATTTTCTTCAATCAGAATCTGTGGATCTCACTGCCTCAGAAGGCTGTGGAAGCCAAGTTACTAAATGTCTTTTAGGCAGAAATAAATAAATAGTTTATTGATTAGTGAGGGGTTATGGGGAGAAGAGGAGAATGGGGTTGCAAAACATGTCAGCCATAATCAAACAGTGAACAGACTCGATGAGCCGAATAGCCTAATTCTGCTCTTACATCTTGTGGTCTTATGGTCCAAACAGTGTCTTCATATTTTTATGGGTTTTTTTTAAAATTGTGGACTGAAATAGGGTAAGAACTGTTTTAAATCCAGAGATTGCAAGAATTGCTGCATGGTTTGAAAGCAAATAACTTGATACTCAATGTGTCACTGTTTGTACCCCTGTGGGTTACAGCAGTGGTTGTGGACAAACTGCAGCAGAAAGGTTTTGTGCATAAGGAGCTTTGGTTTACAACAAGTAGCAGATCTGTTTGTGGACTCATGATCACCAATGACAAAATTCTTCTGCCTGCCAACAACCACGTGATTGGTTCTCAGACAGGTGAACAGCTTGGGGCTGTGAACAAGATACACAGAAGCCTTTGGGGCACCAACAGTTTAGGAGCTCTCTCTCACTCTCTATATTCTCTGCAGTAAAAGCCACTTCCGGCCTATCTTTCCTTCAGCAGTTGCTGTAAGCTCTGATCTAATTGGTTAGTCAGAGAGCTTTTATAAGTGAACTAGCCACCCTGTGCCTCTTGCAAACCTGTGGAAGCCATCTGGACAAGGACGACCGAGAAGCAGTGTTCTGACCAGCACAAGAACCATCTCAGCAACCATTGTGAAGAGGAACCACTGAACTGCTTTACCAGTTTTCCCTTTGTCCGTAACATGCTTTTTATTCTGCCAATTCGTCTGTGCAAGAGGGAGTTTATAAAGGAATGACAATTTTAGTTGGTAGAGTTATATGCTGACAGTTCATAAAGTAAGCTCTTGCTGTAGGTAACCTTTTATCTTATTTAAAGAAAAATTCTCTTGCACAAATTTTAGGAATTGCTCCATCTCTTTACATTACACTATTGCAATGCAAGAGCCCATTCACTACTAATAGATATTTTTTTTTAGATCAACCTGCTCAGGCATTTTATGACACATCTCTGAAGCGGGTAGGATTTGAACCTCGGTTCTCTGACCTGGACGGACGGACACAATTATTGTGCCATAACAGCCTCAACAGTCTATTTGTTAGTAGTAAATGGTAGATTTTGTTTGGTATAGAAACCTGGTCAGTGTTTTCAGTAAACTCGAACCTAAAAGACAGGTAAATTGGGGAATTTTGGATACTTTTAAAAATCTCTTAACTTTTGTGACGACTCCAGGAATACTGGGGCTTGATTTCCAGCATTCGAACACAGAGAGGTGAGACATTGTTTGCTACATCCGCTACATCTGTGTCAGCGGAAAATTTGGTGGTCTGCTACAAATAAAGTTTCAGTTGGTTCACTGAACATAAGTCAAAGTCTGGACGATGAAGGTTAGAAATATTACCTGATGCCAGCGATGAGACCAGCAGGTATTACCTTTCCAGACCTTTTATAGCGCACTCCCATTACTGTGGTCAAAATTCCTGCAGTTACTGTTATCGAAGGGAAAAGAATATTTAGGCAAATTGAAGCAGCAATTAATTTGTGCATCAAAAGCTCTATATAAAATTAGTAATAATTATATCTGGACAATTAGAAATCTTCTTGCCATAACAGGAAACTCTGGAAGCACCACTTGTCAGAAACACTGTTAACATATTTACTTCAGAGTTGCAATTTTCATTGTTTAATTCCATAATTTCTGTGTAACACCATCTTGTAGAAGTACGATAAAACCTTCCTCTCAATTGACTGAAAGTAGGAATGCTGCAATTGTTTTGTACACCACTCACTAAGACATGTGTTATTTGATTTCTTTTGGCCAGTTCTGGCTTACTTCACAACATTGCAATGCATTTCCATTTCAAAGCCTCAGTGCAAATGAACTGATTAATCTACCTGAATAAATGAATTGACAAATCTACCTGAAGAACAAAGATATATTGTATACGAGTATTACTGAGAAAGACAATGCTATTGAAGATTTTTGACCTGAACTCATCAGGACAGATGCAAAAATGCCAAAGTTGAAAGGGACCCTATCCTTTGATTTCCTCAGAGCCAAACATAAAACAAAAAACTTACTCAATGTGACACAGTGTGAAGAACTGAAATCATTACACCAGTACATAAGGAATAATGACCAGAGGCAGTTTGATGACAACAGTTTGATTAACCCAGACAAACTGATTTCTTTTGCCTCTCGAAAAGAAATAAAGTTGATAAACATTAAACAATTCAATTTTTTATTGGCCAACTTATTGAAATGAATTGTTTCATTAACAAAACCAAGACAAATTGCTTTACTTGAAGTAAAGCCTCAAATGTTGATCACTGCAAATTACTTCCCAGGGCTCATAAATCTAAGGAGCTCCAAGTTGTGCGAGCTACTTAAATGTTGCAGAAATAACTGGATTAATGTTGGCTATAATCATGCTTTACTCTCAGTAAATTACTGGCCCTAATGGGCACTGCACGTAGACATGTGAAATAAAAATCAAATTTATATTTTATTTCCTTTATTCACAGATAAGAAGCTTTTTAAGAGGCTAGAAAGTTGGGCAAGAAACAATAGGGAAACTGCAACAACGCTTAGATCTCACTCACTATTTTTAAATTTGGCTTTGTGAAAATATGAACAACCATTCTATACCAAGAACACGCAGGTAATTAAAACAGCAGAAACCTGTTTGCTTTTCTCTAAAAAAAATTCAAATTAGGTGGAGTAGGCCATTTGATCTCTCATTTTCTGCTTCTCTGTTCACTAACATCATTGCTGACCTGACTACAGCCTCTTCCTGACTACCTGATACCCTTTGACTCTATTGTTAGCTACGAATCTCCTTATCTCTGCCTTCCAAATATTCAGTAACTCTGCCTCCACCACTTTCTGGGGAAGAGAGTTCCACAGATTCAAGAAATCTAAGAAAACAAAGATCTCTTTTTCTCCTCTTTAAATGAGAGGCCCCTTATTCTTAAATTGTGACTCTATGATTGTATATCAAAATGATTTTTAAAAAATTTCAAAGCACAATTGGAAGATGTGTTACCCAGTATGAGTTGTGTCATAATGCTGCAAAGAACAGAAACGTGCCTGTCTTAATCTCTGTTTGGTGCCACGAAAAGTGATGTTACCTTAGCCATCGGTAAGGATTTTGTTCTAATTCTTAACATTATGAGGTGGATTCCTGCTCCTGTACCATTCATTGTGTACGCGTGAGTCTATGGAAGTCAAGTGAAGCCAGGATTTGGCTCAGCTTTGATGCAATGTGAAAGCTGGCCCCTCAGGCAAGGTAGTAAGTGTCAGTGGATAACTAGTATCGGTATTGAATGTTCTGCAATAAAATTCAGGAAAATGGTTGCAACAAGCAATTCTATTAGTTTTTAGTATCCAGCTATTAAACTTTAAGTTAATCATAGTTTGCAGAAAATGAGGGTGCAAATTACAATGGCTTATCTTAAGTGAAACGAAGAGAAATTTTATTATCTGGTACTGAGAGAAAAATATTAAAAATGAGACGTAAATATGTTTAAAAGGAAGTGTCTTGTACAGACAGGGAAAATAAAATTTACACAGTTAAACATTCCTTAGATTCCTTGAGGCATTAGATTCTTAACCACAGTTACTCAGTGATTGATTTGTATTGTCAGCAGTAGTGGAATGTGCAAATAGCTCTGTGGTCCAAGAATTATTATTTGCCCAATTTTCTTTCTCATTGCATATTGTATTCCAAGATGATGAGGGAAATAGGCAGAGAGAGACACACAGAGCACGATGCATCTTTTAAAAATTTACTCATGGGATGTGGGCATTGCTGGCTAGGCCAGCATTTATTGCTTATCCCTAGTTGCCCTTGAGAAGGTTGTGGTGAGCTGTCATTTTGAGCTGCTGCTGTGAATCTGGTATAGGTACCCCCTCAATACCATTCGGGAGGGTGTTCCAGGATTTTAACCCAATGGCGATATAGTTCCAAGTCTGGATGGTGAGTGGCTTTGAGGGGAAATTGCACACAGTGGTGTTGCCATGTATCTGCTGGCCCTCTCCTAAATGATAGCGGTCCTGAGTTTGGAAGGTGCTGTCTAAAGATACTGGGTGAATTTCTGCAGTGCATCTTGTAGACAGTATACATTGCTGTACCTAAGCTTCATTGGTGGAGGGAGTGGATGCTTGTGGATGTGGTGCCAATGTGGGGAGGTGATAGCCTAGTGGTATTATCACTGGAATGTTAATCCAGAGACTCAGGTAGTGTCCTGGGGACCCAGGTTTGAATCCCACCATGGCAGATGGTGGAATTTGAATTCAATAAAAATCTAGATAGTGGACAGGTTTTGGAGAATGAAGAGGTGAGTTTCCCATTGCTGGATTCCCAGACTCTGACCTATTCTTGGAGCCACTGTATTTACATGGCTAGATCAGTTCAGTTTCTGGTCAATGGTAATCCATAGGATGTTGACAGGGCAGGATTCAGTGATGGTAACACCATTGAATATCAAGGGGAAATGGTTAGATTGCTTGTCACTTGTGTGGTGTGCCTGTTACTTGTTACTTGTCAGCACAATCCTGGATATCGTCTAGATCTTGCTGCATTTGGGCATGGACTGCTTCAGTATCTAAAAAGTCACAAATGGTGCTGAATATTGTTCGCTGATGATTGCATATCACCAATTCTGACCTTATGATGGACAGAAGTTGGTCATTGATGAAAATGAAGATAGTTGGGACAAGGAGGCTACCCTGAGGAACTCCTGCAAAAATATCCTGGAGCTGGGATGACTGACCTCCGCTAGCCACAACCATCTTCTATTACATCAGGTATGACTCCAACCAGTTTTCCCATTGGCTCTTGTTTTGCTTCTTGATGCCACATCTTTGTTGCAAATTAATTTTTCCTTCTTGCTTCTCTGCTTGTGAAAGGCTGTTGCTGAAATATGCACCAGTGTGTATTCCTGAGTCTAGCTCTATTATCTTTCAAACTGGCTAATTGTCAGACGGGTCTTTTATCTCTCAATATTAGAACTATCAAACCATGTATGAATTACGCAGGAGATGCAAATTTCTTGACACCAGTTCAGTTACCTGGTTTCAATTAATTTAGATTTTAAAAATGGTAATTTCATTGAAAATGGATTGATTAATTCAACATGGGTCTCGTGCAGTTTGCCTCAATCTGTGGGCAGATAACCACTGCAGCCATTTTGGGTCCATGTTTCTTCCTTTTTAAAAAAACATTTTAGAACATGAAAGGTCTCAGATATAATTAACTGTTAGATGATGGATGCAAAAAGTTAAATATTTTGTGCTCATTTCTATAGTAACAACCACCATAAAATTAAGAAGACCTAAATAATTTCCTAAAAAGAACAATGGTGTCACTAAGTCACTTTGATTTAAAGATATAATTACATTTTTTGTTGCTCCTGCTGATGAACTTGAACATAATATCAGTGTCTGATATTATGTAACCACACTGCCCTGGAACTAAACTAAACTGGAATCAGGAGTGGTGTACCCATTTTTGCTGCATCTCCTTTGACCCTGTTTTTGTTGTCCCTTGATGCTCTGCTCTTAGTCTGGCCTTCCCACCTGTTCTTGTCTCTCAGCCTATGGTGAAGGATCCACGCACTTACAGTCATACAACATGGAAAAGAAAACTCTTTGGTCCAACTTGTCCATGCCGAACAGATATCCTGTATAAATTTAGTCTCATTTGCCAGCATTTGGCCCACATCCATCTAAACCCTTCCTATTCATATACTCATTCAGATGCCTTTTAAATGTTGTAATTGTACCAGCCTCCACTGGCAGCTCATTCCATACATGCACCACCCTCTGAGTGAAAAAGTTGCCCCTTAAGTCCCTTTTATATCTTTCCCCTCTCACCTTAAAATTATGCCCTCTAGTTTTGGACTATCCCAACCCAGGGAAATGACTTTGTCTATTCACCCTATCCATGTCCCTCATGATTTTATAAACCTCTATAAGGTCACCCCTCAGCCTCCAACACTCCATGGAAAATAGCCCCAGCCTATTCAGCCTTTCTCTATAGCTCAAACCCTCTAACCCTGGCAATACCCTTGTAAATCTTTTCTAAACCCTTTCTACTTTCACAACATTCTTCCTGTAGGAGGGAGACCAGAACTGCACACTGTATTCCAAAAATGGCCCAACCAATGTCCTGTACTTTGGCTACTGTATCGCCATTTTAATAATGTTGTATCTTGTCCCGCTGGATCTGATCAAAATCAGATCATAAGGAATGCTCTCTGATTTAAAAATATTGCTTTTCAAAGGCAGGGCTTGAATGTGCAGTGAGTGTGCCTCATGCAGTAGTTAATAGAGTCATAGAGCTATACAGTATGGAAACAGAGCCTTCAGTCGAACTTGTCCATGCTGACCAGATATTCTAAATTAATTTAGCCCCATTTGCCAGCATTTAGCCAGTATCCCTCTAAACCCTTGCTATTCATGTTCCCATCCAGATGACTTTTAAAAGTTATAATTGAACCAGCTTCTACCACTTCCTTTGGCAGCTCAATCCAAATGTTGCATTGCAAAACGTAACTTTACTTCTTTGAGAATAGAAAACTCAGGAACTCACACAATGAGATCTTAACATTTCGTGGGTCATTTGAAACTTGATAAGCACCGTATCCTGCTAGAGATCCAAAAAGCAGTCCAGACATCAAAGACATCACACTCCCTAGTTAAAAAAACAAATAAATGAGTTATTTCACTTTCTTTTCCTCAAAGCCGCTGATTCCATGTATCTTCTATAGATCAGTAAATGCTGCCATGATACCTCATTGTTACTCTAATCAGAAGTACAGATCTTACTGTGGTGAAACTCAGATTACTCAATGCTCAAAGTTACACTGCATTCAGTGTTTCTGAAATAATCAGAATTAAATTTATGATAAAATTTACAAATTAAGTGGAATATATTTAAAATGAAATAAGACAAAATGGTTTGGCGGCTTAAACAGGAACTTCTGCCTCTGGCATACGAGTGTAGAGGCAGCCTAAAGAGAAACAAAACTTTTTTTAAATTCCTGGCTTTAAAGACTTCTAAGTAAAGGCAAGCCTGAAAATGTTCAGGTTTGTCTGGAAATTGGTGCATCAAACAGAAGTTACTCCGACACAGCAGTAAATATCAATTGATGAGAAATTCCTGAACTTGTAACAATAGCTGACAATAGCAGTTTCAAGATTCACACCATTGCTTTTCTCAGGCAAAACAAAGGTGCACACAGCACATTTGCCCAGTCCAAAGTAACATGGGACAAGTTAAAAAATGCAAAGACTAGAGAAACTAGGGCTTTTTACCATTTAAGATTATTGATGGGAAATCCAAGGTACTGAAGATACAAATGGGATAGATAAAACAACTCCAGAATATTACTTCAAACAGAGCCACAGCAGAAGAACAAGATGTGATAAAATCAAACTAATCCAGGGCATATTAGGACAGAAGAAAATTCTTCACACCAAGAGTACTCAAAGTAATAAATGCATTTGACTAAGCCTGAGATGAGGGGGTTATACTCTGAGGCAAATTGAACAGAATGAACAAAAACTCACCTGGATTTTTGAAGAATGAGAGGTAATCTTATTGAAACAGTTAAAATCCTGAGGGAATTTACTAGGTTGGGCAGTGGGAGTGAAACATGATCTAGGAGATACAGTTTAAGAATAACAGGTCTTTTAAGACAGAGACGAGGATTTTTTTTCCTCTCCGAGATTTATTAGTCTGTGAACTTCTTTCCTCCAAAAGTGGGAGCTGTCTTATTAAACTTATCTATCTTACTCAGCCTTGAATATTTGATAGACAAGGGAGTCAAAAGATATTAGGATCAGTCAGGGAAATGTGCTCATGACTACGATGAGATCAGCCAGGACCTTATTGAATGGTGAAATGAACTCGAAGCATCGAATTGCTCTATGTCTATTCATCAGGAGCAAAACCTACAATCCTTGAAAAATCAAGAGATGGTCAGAATTGGTAGTTTTTTTTGGAGGGACAGTTGAACTATAATTAAGTGGCCTTGTTTATTTGTACTCTTTTTGGGAAGTACCAAACACAATAAATTGTTAATAGTATCCATAAAAGTACATTACCTTTCCAAGTATATCCCAGAATGCCACCCACCATCACAATAGCAGCATAGGAATAGCTTATCCAATCGATTGGCATTCTTGAATTCTGGCAGGGGTGTGGGGAGAGAGAACAGAAAGAAAAATCTTATACTTGATACCAGCTTTTCTCTTAAAAGAGGAACACAAACAAAAGATTAAGTGCAGTCGAGAACAACGACTCTCTGTTTTTACATCCTTTTCTATTTAGGGCTCCCCAAGAGGGCAGCTGGGTGGCCTGTTCCCAAGCCTCAGGCAGTGTCATTCACTCAGTCGGTCACTGGAAATGTACAAACATGACCTGGGGTAAGTTCCCTTCTTTGCCTGTGGGAAAGTACCAGGAATGTTTAATATTTCACCTTTCAACAATGCAAGGACATCTGTGCTGGGAATCAAAGAAGATATCAGACTTCCTTCACACTGAAGGATGGCATATTCCTACTACTTCAACTAGCAAAAGTAGCTAACTATCCTGATATTGCAATTTTCTGTGGTCATACAGCAACTAACCATAACAACACCGAACAAGTTGCTCTCTGAGCTGGACTGGCATATCTGGTTGGCCATATTCGTGGAGATTAATTACACGACCTTCTGTTTGCTACAGTCTTGCCCAATCAAACAACGGATATTCACACCTTCTATACTCTTATAGTTATTAGAAAAGACAGAATCAACAAAAATATAAGAAGAAATCTTTTCTCCTGGGTTCCTTGTAACAATATTTAGGGATTAAACTTTAGAACATAAGAACTAGGAGCAGGAGTAGGCAATTCAGCCCCTTGAGCTTGCTCTACCATTTAATATGATTATGGATGATCTCATCTTGACCTCAACTACACTTTCCTGCCTGCTCCCTACAATCCTTTAACCCATTATTATTTAAAAATCTGTTCGTATCTTCCTTAAAAATTTTCAGCATCCTGTTATCCACCACACTCTGGGGTACTGAATTCCACAGATTCACGACCCTGTGACAGAAGTAATTCCTCCTCATCTCTGTTTTAAATCTGCCATCTCTTGGCCTAAAACTATGACTGCACACTCTATATTGCCCACAAGGGGAAACATCACCTCTACATTTACTTTGTCAGTCTCCTTTAGCATCATATATACCTCAAATTAGATCTCTTATCCTTCGAACCTCTTGCGAGGATAGGCTTAAATTGCTCAATTTCTCCTCATTGGACAAGACTTTCATCTCTGGAATGAATCTAGTGAATAGTATGAGCTACCTTCATTGCCATAATATCCTTCTTTTTGTAATAGAACCAAAACTCTATGCAGTACTTAAGATGCAATCTAACCAATGCCTTGCACAATGGCAAAAACACTTCCCAGTTTTTATAAAGCATTCTTATAGCAATAAATGCCAAAATTCCATTCACCCACCTTATTACCTGTTATATGTGTATTCTAGCTGTCTGCAACTCATGCATAAGGACACCCAGGTCCCTCTGTATTGAAGCATTTTGAAGTTTCTCTCCATTTTGATATTAATTTTTTTTATTCTTCTGATCAAAATGGATAACTTCACACTTATCCACATAAAACCCCATCTGCCAAATTTTAGCTCATTCATTTTAGTTATCCATATTCATTTATGAATTTCTTACTTCATTGCAACTTTCCACCTATTTTATTGCACTTTATTATTTCTCAAATGCTCCAAACTAATGCTACAGTTGGAAACTTTAAATGGCACTTGATAACTTTTTGTCAAGACCACTCCCAAACAATATCTTCCTCAAATAACCATATCTAGGGATGTTATTACACATCTTTGGAGCTGTATAAACTCAGACTCTGGTCATGCTGGTTTTACAAAAAAGCAAAAGCAAAATCAACCTGGTCAGACCTGTTACAAGGCAAAAGGACAAGAGGTAGGGATACTACCACTGTGACACAAGACCTCATACAATTGTTTTATAGTTGATTCCATGTCATCAACTGTTTGCTCAGTCTGCCTTGGAAGGGATTCAAGAAGTGCACGTATGAAAATCGCATATCCAGCTCAGAACATATAATGGTATTATCACACCTCAAAACATTGATTAATTAAAAGGGCAAATATGCATGCATCCCACAGAACTAGAGAACTCAGATTAATTGGAAAAACAAATGATTCCACTGTACTCAAAAAACATTTTGTGGCAGCACAATTGTTGCCCTTTAAGGGGCTGAACTAGTTCATCCTGCCTCCTGCTAGTATTCCCTGCTTTGGTTTGTTGGGACACCAGCATGAAAGGGCAGGGAGCATTCAGCACAAAACCCAAGCACTATCTACATCCCACAACAGCACAAGCCACGAGGGGATGCTCAGAAGCACACGAATCAGGAAGTCTGACTGCTCTCAAATATGTCCCAAACAGTAACGACGCAATTAAGCATTACGTAATTAGGTATTCCCAATGTATTGTAACTGAGTAACCTTATGAGAAGAGTAACTGGAAACGTCCTCTGAAGCACCAAAGTCAATCCAAAACAAAAATCAGTGACCATGAGCACCATATTCCATACCCCACCTACCTTTATTTAAATACACCACAGAACTCAACAGCTAGGCAAGTCAGAAAACATCCTTCTCTCTCAGGCTAGCCTCAGATACTATTTCCAAATCAGCTAAACAGTTTTCAGTTCAAAATTGTTACAAACGAACTCTGCAGTACAATATGGAGATACAAGGGCAGGCTCAGTCTGAAAACACAGCGCACAAAATAAAAAGGCACTTCACGGGGGTTGGGATAACCGCAGTTTTCACGGGTTTCTGAGGCTCGGTGCCGAAACATGGTATTTCTGCAATCAACCAGATTTAAGCACTGACGATAGATATCATTCAACATGAGGAGAGGGAAAACAAAACGTAATTTGGCATGGAGTTGTATTTCTCCCAAAATAAAAGCAGCAAAGCTGGTGAAAGGAGGCTGAATTGGACAGATTTAAATCCAATGCAGAGGGAACAGTTCGCAGTCTCTGTTGTAATTTCCTCACCTTTTACAAGCTGGCAAGTTCGCTCAATTGATAAAACATGCCGAGATGCAATTTCTAACGGTTAAAAAACCATTTCCTTTTCATAAAAACAAAATTGCAGACTCATCAGCCTATGCAATACCCTGTAAAATCTGTACTGACTGCACAATACAACTGGGCCAGAAGTGGAGCCCATGCATTTCTCTCTCGGCTACAAATGTTTCTGTCAAATACGACAAGTGATTAAAACTTGAAAATCTTTGCTTCTCCAAGAAGGCCAACCTTTGTTTGTCCTGTCCTGTCCTGTCTTGCTGAACTGTTAGATTCCAGTCCGCTGCAGCCGCTTTTACCGAAAGACAGAATTGTGTATTTATTTTGTCAATTACATAAACATTTCCGAATATCAGCGCATGTTCGACGCCATATTGACTTCGAAAAAGATACTTTCACACCCATTGTCGATTTACTTTGGTTATGCTTCCATTTACCTTTGTTTTTGGTATCACCGAATTTTTTTCTCTCGTGTTGAAGTTAATTCGTGTTTTAAAATTATACTTCCGCCTTCATCCTCCTTTATCATCTGCCACCAGAGGGCAGATATAAAACGAATGGCGAGGAAAAGCTGACATTTTCTTATAAGGTGACTCTAGGGAAGGAAAGACGGCTGGGCTAGGATCAGAGGGAAAAAGATCTGGGTTGCGGGGGGATCCGAGGGCTGAGGGTATGAGCGCTGGGTTGAGATTAGCAGTTCTGAGGATGAGAAGGGGGTCAGACGACCCGAAACGTTAACTCTAATTCTCTCCACAGATGCTGCCAGACCTGCTGAGCTTTTCCAGCAATTTCTATTTTTGTTTGTGTTAGTGTGATATTGCAACTGGGTCCACAATGGGGTACGTATTGGAGCGTGGTTTTCGGATGGGAATGAGGCCAAATAAAAACATTCTCCTCAACCAGAGATAGTAAGAACTGCCGATGCTGGAGTCAAAGATAACAGTGTGGAGCTGGAGAAACACAGTAGGCTAGGCAGCATCTCCTCTGATGCTGCCTGGCCTGCTGCGTTCCTCCAGCTCCACACTGTGTAATCCTATTCTCCTCAACCCACTGCAGGAACTCTTGTCCCTCTCTGCACTTTATATTAATACCCAGTCTGTACACAGATAATTTGTTACCCATGATATATGCAACAATTCTGGCATTTCTCTCTAATTTCTTTGCAAACTGATTTTTCTACATTTCTAATAGTTAATCACACAGACCATTTAAGCAATGTCATTACAACTTTTTCTTGTTCCCTGGCTCTGCCAAAGAGATTGTGTTCTGAACCTCAGTAAGACATTCTCTCTCGCCAGCACTGCAAAGCTGTCCTCAATCAATATTGCACTCCTCCCACTTTCCCAAACATTCAGGATGTTATTCAAGAATATTTAATACCCAGCCGAGCCTTTCCTGACCAAGGTCTCTGTTACCACCTCAGCATTATAATTCCATCTGGCCATCTGTACCTTGCGATTCGCCAATCTTAATGCCCATACTCCACCCATTCATATATGTGTACTGTCACCCTAATTCAAACATTATGTTCCCTCCTACATTGAACCAAGCCAATATTGTCATAATTCCAGCTGACAAATAATACTGCACAAGTCAGATCTTAGTATGAGGCCTGGCAAGATAGACCATAAGTTTTATTTTTTCTTTCTGTTCACCATGGAAGTCAGTCACTGAATATATTCACAACGGTCTTCCAATGTACTTACAACAAAGCAATATATAAGTTTATTATACAAGTTATTTTAATACTATATTAAACAAAACCTATTTGTAACACTCATTCTGAATAATGGAAAGAATCTCAACAATGATCTTACTGATATTCAAACCTCAGTGAAGGGTTACCCACTCATTCAATACTAAAGCCCCACGCTCAGCTTGACTACTGTATTCAGCTTTCTTTTCAGAAAGTCCTCTGCATTCATTTGATGCTATCCTTTTGATCGAATATCTCTCCATGAGATGTAAACTCTGGGATGTTATTACTATTTGTGCTAAGTTTGGGATTCTGGTTTTTAAGTTAGTAATTGGTGAGTTTTCTGTGTCTGAAGTTAATTATTAACTTGTATTACTGTAGCTATGGTAGCAGTAATACAAGTTAATAATTAACTTCAGACACAGAAAACTCACCAATTACTAACTTAAAAACCAGAATCCCAAACTTACCATAAATAATAACATCCCAGAGTTTACATCTCATGGAGAGATATTCGTTCAAAAGGATAGCATCAAGTGAATGCAGAGGACTTTCTGTAACTTTCTTTTTAAAGTAGTTTTTGAAATGTATCTCTGGATGGATACTAAAAGGATGTTTCCTCTTGTGAGATAATCTAGAGCTAGTATTTACAGTTTATAAATAAGGGGCCAAAAACGACAGGGATTTAAGACAGAGATCAGGATTTTTTTTCTCTGAGGGTTGAGTCTCTGGTATTAATAAGTGATCTGGAGGAAGGTATAGATGGTCTGATTAGCAAGTTTGCAGATGACACTAAGATTGGTGGAGTAGCAGATAGTGAAGGGGACTGTCGGAGAATGCAGCAGAATATAGATAGATTGGAGAGTTGGATGGAGAAATGGCAGATGGAGTTCATTCCAGGCAAATGCGAGGTGATGCATTTTGGAAGATCCAATTCAAGTGTGAACTATACGATAAATGGAAAAGCCCTGGGGAAAATTGATGCACAGAGAGATCTGGGTGTTCAGGTCCATTGTACCCTGAAGATGGCAACGCAGGTCAATAGAGTGGTCAAGAAGGCATATGGCATGCTTTCATTCATCGGACGGGGTATTGAATACAAGAGTTGGCAGGTCATGTTACAGTTGTATAGGACTTTGGTTCGACCATATTTGGAATACTGCGTACAGTTCTGGTCGCCACATCACCAAAAGGATGTGGATGCTTTGGAGAGGGTGCAGAGGTGGTTCACCAGGATGTTGCCTGGTATGGAGGGTGCTAGCTATGAAGAGAGGTTGAGTAGATTAGGATTATTTACATTAGAAAGATGGAGGTTGAGGGGGGACCTGATTGAGGTCTATAAAATCATGAGGGGTATAGACAGGGTGGATAGCAAGAAGCTTTTTCTCAGAGTGGGGGACTCAATTACTAGGGGTCACGATTTCAAGGTGAGAGGGGAAAAGTTTAAGGGAGATATGCATGAAAAGTTCTTTATGCAGAGGGTGGTGGGTGCCTGGAACGCGTTGCCAGCGGAGGTGGTAGAGGCAGGCACGATAGCATCATTTAAGATGTATCTAGACAGATACATGAATGGGCAGGGAGCAGAGGGATACAGATCCTTGGAAAATAGGTGACAGGTTTAGATAGAGGATCTGGATTGGCGCAGGCTTGGAGGGCCGAAGGGCCTGTTCCTGTGTTATAATTTTCCTTGTTTTTTGTATTCGCTTCCTGAAAAAGCAGTGGCTGCAGAAATTTTATAAATATTTTTCAAGGCGGAGGCAAATGTATTCTTGATCACCAAGTGGACTAAAGATTATCAGGAATACGCAGGGATGTAGAGTTGAGGTTTAACTCAGATCGTCCATGATCTTACTGAATGGTGGAGCAGGCTTGCAGACCGAGTGGCCTACTCTTGTTCTTTGATCGTATGTACATGTTGAGTTGGCATTTCTCAGTCCAACATGCTTTTTTTCCCAAAAGACAACCCAAGTTGTTCGAATGGCTGTGTTTATTGTTAACACCATGGCTTGGTAGTTCGGTCACTGTGCACATGTTAGAAGAGTTACATCACTACTAAATGACAGAATGGCAATTGTATGGAATAAAGACAGTACAAACCATATAATTACACTGCATATTGGTGCTGTTTCAAAGTAACACCTAAGCAGTCATCCAAGATAGTCAGCCCTCAGCCTAACGTGTATGTTGTCAATAAATGCTGGATGAGCCAATGATGCCCACATTCCATGGCTAATAACAAGTACAGAAACAACAGTAGTGACAATGTAACTGTAACCCTAGGAACACAAGCAGTCAAGCTTTGACTGCATTTGAGAGAGAAATATTAGTGCTGCCTTTAATGGTTTCACAGCTGCCTTTCTCATTTCCTAGCATTAGGTTGACAGTGCTTTTTGGCTAAATCACATCTTCCCTCCAAATAAAAATATAGACAGTGAATCTCACCCTCCTCACATATACTTCGATAAACACCAAATCTGTAGCTGAATTAGCTCTGATTAAATCAGAATTCTGTGCATTCCATGCAGAACACTAGAAAGGAATCCATTTAAGTATGGGTCTGTGCGAGTGGCCTCATCCATACATGAATAGCTATAATCTGGTGATAGGATGACACTGTGCCAGCAGTAGCAGGGTAGCCATCCTTGTTGCCAATGCTAAAATGGCCAACACACAATCCGGTTCAGTGTAAGAAAATCAGTGCACATTCTCCACTTTTCTCTATCAATTTAAGATGTGCTTTTGAACTTCAATTCTTCCCATTCTTTTGAACATTGAACGTAAAATTGGGAAACATGCAAAATAAAGACACCTAAATTGGCAAAAAGACACTAGGTTTGATGATGCTTGATTATCTAGCTCACATAGTTATCAAAATGCTTATTCAAGAAAGCATTTAACGAATTCTGGAGTTTTTCCATTCTGAACTTCAAAGTGTCAGCCTTGCTTCAATTGGTAGTACTCTTGCCTCAGAAAAGATGTTGATGGCTTTAAGCCACATACTGTATTGGAGACTATAAATAGAGGATATAATTTTGGGGATTGCAGCAAGCACTGACTCCCTCTGTCCTTTCTAGTTGTTTAACTACCTTCACCTTTTCTTCCTTAAGACACTCAAACATGTTGTTTTCTCTTAGCTTCTTCCCGTCACTCAAATTACGTCTTTTTTGATATTTCAACAGTTAATATCCTGACTACAGCACATACTCTGTTCTTGTGAGCCACTCACATTATTACTAATGACTGTGATCATGTTCCTACATTTTCTTCAGTATAGCTCTGGTTTGTTCTCTTTGCAGCATCACATGGAAACAAAGAAAATAGTAAGTAGAGTAGATCATTGGCCCTTTGAGCCTGCTCTACCATTTAATATGATTCATGGCTGATCATCCTACTGTGTACCCTGTTCCCACTTGTGACCAATACCCTTTGATCACTTTATTCCAAGAAGTTTATGTCTCCTTCATGAAAACTTTCAATGTTGTGGCCCCAACCATTTTCTGTTGTAGAAAATTCCACAGGCTTACCACTACGTTCCTTCCTCAGTTTTACCCTGTCCAGTCCTGTTAGAATTTTATAGCTTTGTGAAATATCCCAATAATTTTTCTATGCAATTGGCCTTCGCTATTGTCTACCACAGTATCTCCTTTATGGTTTTTCTTCCTATCATTGCCCACACCAGCTCATTATCACAGTTACAGCATGTGCCAGGAGCCTCAGGAACAAATACACAATGTGGATAGAAAACATCTGTTCCCCTTTGTTGAAGGGCCAATAAAAGGGGGTGTAATTTTACTGAGAATAGTAGGAGGCATATAGAGGATGTAGGGAGAAAAGTATTTTCACCCAGAGGATAATGGGAATCTGAAATGCACTGCCTGGGAGGATAGTTGAGCCAGGAAACATCACAATCTTTGAGGGACTTTTGGAACTTGAAATGTCATAACATTCAAGGCTATGGGCCAAGTGCTGGAAAGTGGTACAAGTGTAGATTTACAGTAGTTTTTGCCAAAGCAGACTCTGAGTTAAAAGACCTCTTCTATTCTGCATTAATCTGTGGCGTATTGGATATGCACAAGATAGT